TGGGGGGTTCCATAAATGTGGGTACCCCACAATGGATGGTTTTTAAAAATGGCACATCCTATTCAAATGGATGATTTGGGTGACATTCCATTTTAAGAAATTTCCATACATAATATATCACATACATATATATATATATATCATAAACATCGTATACATTTAGATATTATATATATATATATTCACATCATCCAACCACCTTAACTATCCGACAACCTCTATCCAACATATAGTAGCAATCAATTATAGTTACACTCAAGTACATAAATGTATATATGTATATATATATATATGTATGGGCCTATTTGGGGGGTTTCCTTAGATGAGGGATACCCAAAACCACAAGTTTCAAGACTAACGGTCTAGTTTTAGATGATTTGGGGGTACCCCCATGGTAGGAAACCTCCTATGTTGTTTGTTTCATATCTAACCCCATTCATAAATATATATATATATGTAGATTACACTCTAAAACAATGATAGCATATTATCAATTAGAGTATATCAGCTATAGTTAAACTTAAAATCAGTGCCAATGATCCTTGATATCCTTGGGATGGACAGCTGGCAAAAATCATGTTCACCGGGGGTTTTGACTCATCTCCAACCTGGCGCCCTCGACCAGCAGCATGGCGGCTGCTTCGAAGTTCCCACAGAGAATGGCCAGCATCAACGGGGTGGCGCCACGGCTGTGGTAGGCCATGCGCCGCATCCTGCAGAAAGAACCGAGACAGAACGTAAGGAGATTTGTTCAAATTACTGTAGTTTAGTTGTGTTTAATTACGTCTAGTTGACTTATATAAGTTAGTTTGGTTTCCGTTTAGCTAAATTTAGTTTAGCTTTGCTGGCTTGAGGTCTAGATCAGCTGGATTTAGATTTAGATTTGGATGGATGGATGGACAGATAGATAGGTAGGTAGATAGGTAGGTAGGTAGGTAGGTAGATTAGTTAGTTATTTAGTTAGTTAGTTAGTTAGATAGATAGATGGATGGATGGATAGCTAGACAGATACATAGATACTAACCCAAAAAGAAAGAACAATGATATATCACGATTTTAGGATTGGAGTCTACTGAAATAAAAAAAGATAGAAATACAGGAACTCTATGAATTTAAAAGTATATTATATATATTTTTTTATTTACAGTATATACATTTTATAAAGTATATTTACTAGTATATTTACTAGTAGTAGTAGTAGTAGTAGCAGTAGCAGTAGCAGTAGTAGTAGTAGTAGTAGTAGCAGTAGTGCTAGTAGTACTACTAGTAGTAGTAGTAGTAGTACTACTACTACTACTGCTACTACTACTACTAGTAGTACTAGTAGTACTAGTAATACTAGTAGTACTAGTAGTACTAGTAGTACTAGTAGTACTAGTAGTACTAGTAGTAGTAGTTGTTGTTGTTGTTGTAGTACTAGTACTAGTACTACTAGTACTACTACTAGTACTAGTAGTACTAGTAGTACTAGTAGTACTAGTAGTACTAGTAGTACTAGTAGTACTAGTAGTACTAGTAGTGCTAGTAGTACTAGTAGTACTAGTAGTACTAGTAGTACTAGTAGTACTAGTAGTACTAGTAGTACTAGTAGTTCTAGTAGTACTAGTAGTACTAGTAGTACTAGTAGTACTAGTAGTACTAGTAGTACTAGTAGTACTAGTAGTACTAGTAGTACTAGTAGTACTAGTAGTACTAGTAGTACTAGTAGTACTAGTAGTAGTAGTAGTAGTAGTAGTCGTAGTAGTGGTAGTAGTGGTAGTAGTAGTAGTAGAAGTAGTAGAAGTAGTAGTAGTAGTAGTACCAGCAGCAGTAGCAGTAGCAGTAGCAGTACTGGTAGTACTACTAGTAGTAGTACTACTAGTAGTAGTACTAGTATTAGTAGTAGTAGTAGTAGTTGTTGTACTAGGAGTAGTACTGGAAGTAGTACTAGTAGTAGTACTGGAAGTAGTACTAGTAGTAGTACTTGTAGTAGTACTGGAAGTAGTACTAGTAGTAGTACTGGTAGTAGTACTAGTAGTAGTAGTAGCAGTAGTGGTAGTAGTACTAGTAGTAGTATTGGTAGTAGTACTAGTGGTAGTACTGCGCCAGTTTTACCACCAGCACCACTAGCAGTGTGGTGGAGAATGCACGCATCGTGTGTGATAACATTTGCTTCGGTTTCAATGGTGTGTTCCCTTTGACAGATTTCAGAAATTGTCAGTATGATGCTACATATGGTGAAGCAGAAATTTCATACATGCCCACCCGATTTGGACAAATTTGTGCAAATCCACCAGGTGAAGCCCTCCAGCGATCAGTTAAGGTTACCCCATATTAAAACATCCATTAATTACACATGCATTTCTGCATGGACATAGAGTCATATGCGTCTGGTACAGCTTTTCAAGCCAGCAGATTTTCCCGTTTGGGCAAAATGTCTGCTCATGGTTCAAAACTCCTTGGTCCACTACCAGCCCAACCTCAATTCCGACAAGCATCATAGTTGTATGCCCAAATCTGAACTGCAGCCCCTTCACCTGAGAACTCTGCTGGACACATGATCGAAAGCAGTTCACCCTAGGACTTTGACACCGGAAAGTATGGGTTGAAACATGAACAGTATGAGTCTCTACAAATATCTGTAAGTGTTCCTGCTTTTCTTTAGTTAGGTTGGTTACGCGATTCTCAAGTGCGACATATTGTCAAACGAAACGAAAAAAACAATTACATTTGTGAAACAAAAATAATACCCTCTGCTAATTGAACGTAGCTATGAAAAATCACAATGTTATAGTTAGGTAGATCATTTTTATCATCTAAATTTCTATGGGCCATGGCTTCCATAACTATCTAATAAGTAACCCAAGGCTAAATCCCATTCTACTCCCATTATATAGATCCCCATTATATTCCATGTTCCCCTCAAGAATCCCGAGTTCAATCACCATGGGTTGTGCCACAAATTAATCTTTTTATATTCCATATTCCCATCAATCCCACTCATATTCTCATTATATCACCAGTTAAGGACTTTGTTCCCATGATATTTCCATTCCATTCCATCTACTCATATATTCCCATCAAAAGTCCCAAGTCTGCAAGTAATATCCACTTTTAAAATCACCAAATTGTACCCTCTGGTAATTTAACATAGCTATTGAAAATGGCCATTGAGTTCGTTGATTTTCCCATGACAAATGGTGATTTTCCAGTTCGCTATGCAAGTTACGTTTACCAGAGGGTAATGGAATATCTCCTCCGGTAGTCAAACGTGGCGGTAGTCAAAAATGTTTAAAACCACCAACCAGACCAAATTGTATCGTTCCAAGGCGCCTTATGAACGATGCCCACCAAGCTGAAGGACGGCTGGCGGTACGGCTGATCCACGTCTGCGTCTGCCTCGATGAGCCTCCGAACCACCTGGTGAGATCCGCCCTGCAGCATCACCTGGACATCAAAAAACCGACACAACGGGGGTTCATGGTGGGTGAACACACGAGGTATATGTATAATATTGTGTATGTATATATATCATGTTAGAATATGTAAATATATCATACTAGTATGTATATATATATATAATGTCATATTAGTATATGTATATGTGTAGATGTATATACTATATATATATGTATATATCTATCTATCTATATATATATATACTAATATATATTATTATGTGGTGAACTTTTCAGACACAAGACAGGTCTTCCTATTAGCCCAAGGAATCACCGATTTTAGTCATGCTGCCATTTGCCATCCAATTCATGGTTCCCCTCTTTGCGAAAACTGTTTCAATCACATCCAATTGGACAAAATGGATCCCCAACATGGCCCTTGTAATTGGGGAAAATGCTATAGACATCTATAAAAGTTCAAAATGATTTGGGGTTCCTGGTTATGGTACCCGCATCACTTCGGGCAACACCAAATGCATCACTTACACACTCCTCACACTTTGGACGCTCACTTTGGGCAACACGGAAAACATCGTTCTTATCATCTAATTACTTGACTCAGCCATTTAGGGTTTGGTTGGGGGGTGGGGAGGGATCACTCTACTTACATCATTACTTGACTCAGCCATTTAGGGTTTGGTTGGGGGAGTGGGGAGGGATCATTCTACTTGCATCATTACTTGACTCAGCCATTCATGCAATCACATCTTCTCCTGGCGCTATCATCATCACGATCATGATGAAGATGAAGATGAATAATACCCGGAAGAAGAAAATTGAAAATGATTAGTTATAACAAGGATGATGATGATAAAGATGAAAATGATGATGATGATGATGATAACGATGATAATGAGTATGATGATGATGATGATGCTCACATGATGGTCAACATCATGGTCAACCCTTAGTGAACAACATGATGATGGGGTATCCACCCTCCGATCCCTCATGATGGTCAACATGATGATGATAATGATGATCATGAAATATGTCTATTGTTGACGACGATGACGACGACGACGACGACGATGATGATGATAATGATGATGTTGATGTTGAGGTATCCCGAAGCGATGCATGAGGCGTAGCCCGAAGCGATGCACTCGACGTATCCCGAAGCGAGACCCTTTCCAATTTGAGATTCAAATTTTGAAAACAAAGAAACAAGTGAAACAAAATACGCCACATTTACAGCACCTCACAACATCGGGTCCCCTGGCAGTTCTCAAGCGTGCTTCTTAGGAACCGCTGTGTGCAGAGTGAAGGTCAAATCAAAGTCCGAGGTCTGTTGAAAAAGTGCCTCCATAGCATCCTCAGCCCGATCCCCTCGGAGGTCGGGAATGTGTGTAGACATCAAACTGGCCGTTAGGACCTTGGCACACCAAACTAGACATCAAACCCAAGCTGCCAATGTTGAACTGAAGCTTTCCACAAAAGCTGGAGATCAGCCAGCTACCGTGTGAAACCAGTATTTTTTTTGTTTCCTGAGTAATGGGCTTGTCCAAGAATATGCTACCCAAAACATTAATCATCTGACAAATGAGATCGCATGGCATCACTTATCATCACTTGGGTTACAGTCTTCCGAATTTCCAGGCAAACCCATGGACAATGTCACTCTAATCATACGTGTCTAGGGCAATCCCTAAGCGCCCAAGATGCTCTGACCGTGAAGTTGCCGGCTTCAAACCCCCATCATTTGAATTTGTTTCATATTCAACATGCCACGAAATAAAACCATTCCTCCAATTCGAGCTGAAAATGAAACCAACAACTGGTTGGTGGTTTCAACCATCTTGAAAAATATTAGACAATGGGAAGGATTATCCCATATATGAAATGGAAAATAAAAAATGTTTCCAAACCACCAATCAGACAAGCAATCAAATCAAAAAGTTTCCGCATCTCAAATCCAATAGTTTCGCTTCAGCTTCTGGCTGGGTATGTTCAAAAAGCCCGCCCCTATCCCCAGAAATAGACGCTGAAGAAGGAACAATGGAGCCGGCTGCAGCTGCCATGTTCAAGGCGTGGTCACCGAAAGGATTCTTCAAATGTGGATCGGCGCGGGCCTGGCCATGACTGGATGATCGCTACCCGCACGAGTGTCGGAAAGCTCCATTTTTCATAGGGAAGATAAGCTCTTGAAACCATCCAATTTGGGTGTTTTGCCCTAATTTTCAAACAAATCCATGGGTTTTCTTAGGTGCCCAAATGGGGTGCCGAGGGGTTCATTTCCTGTGGATCTTTTGGGAGAGGACCTCTTCAGTCAATACCCCCGGGTGACCACAGATAAGATAGGGCCAATTTGAACTCTCGCAGGAACATCTGACTGGTTGGCGAAATCATGATGTGTCATGGGGCTAACACTAGTCTCACCATGCTGAGCAAGACTCTGGACAGACTACAAAATGTTTGTCTTATTCATGTTCCATCCAAATTATTGTGAAACTGTCCCCACAGTCAGATTACATTAGATTATATACAGTATCCCCGTTAATTCGTTTAACATACTAGCGCCTGTTGTGAATAGTTCATATCCCCCATTGTTCTGGGTTTGTGAGTTCCAAACCAATTGCTGCAAGTCCAGTTATCCAAATTTTATATAATTTTATGATGGAACATCGAGTGAAATCCCACTTGTTCATGGTAAACTCAAGTTGTTGTTGGTTCAAAACCCCCATGTTAATCCATGTGTCATGCTTTTTCTGGACAACATACTCTAGTTTCCTAAACCTCACAATAGCATGATGATACACAATCGTTGTCTAAGCCAAACACATGTGATTTGGACACCTTTTCCCATTGATTTGCTCACGACTTCTGAATTGTTTTGCAATGAGCCTCACACTACTTGGGGGGTGCAGTTCCAGTTATACGTGCATATACGACCATAGGTGGTTTATCTATGGTACCCCAAGTTATGACGGTTATTACCTTGGTTATCCCCATAAAAGTCATCCAAAGTATGCTTAATCCCGATATTATTCCATGTTTTCCAAAGAAAAAACAACAAAACTATCCCATTAAGATCCCGACGTTTGATGGCAAAATATTGTTTAAAAAATCACGTATATATCATATAGAACCATAGTTATATAGGTGTCATCATTGATTATATCGTAACTTTTGGAGGTCACGGGGGTTATTACTATTCTTATACAGTTCTACCATGACTTGAATCCCAACTGCGTTCCCAAGAGTGAAATATTACCATGGTTGTACCCGATCACCATTAACCATGGTTATACCCAGTCAATCACCATTAAATGAACATTATACATACATAATGTGTGTAAATGAATATGTGTATTAATCTGGTTGGTGGTTTTAACCATCTTGAAAAATATTAGTCAATGGGAAGGATTATCCCGTATATTATGGAAAATAAAAAATGTTTCCAAACCACCAACCAGCAATTCTAATTCGGGAAAATGATTTTCGCCGGATGATTATTCCCAATATATGGAAAAATGTAAAAATAAAAAATGTTTGAAACCACGACCCAGTTACAAGGTGGTGCCCCATAGTTAGCTAAGTTGGTTTATAACTCCCATAACTATGGTTTATGGCAGATATAACTATAGTAATTATTCATGGGATTTATAAACCAACTTATAACTGGGGGGCACCAAAACCAGTTATCTATGTACTCCAATATATAAATCTCATTAAATCACCATAAAGTCACCGATGAATCATCCGAGAAATCTTTGCTTCACCTGGCACAGAAGACGCACACCCGCTGCGTCATTGGCCAAGCACGCGACCCCCAAGGGTGTGTGGACCGCCTTGGCCGGTGAAACGCTTCGGAAACAGGTCCACCAGGTCCACTTGGCAAGTGATTTGTAAGTGGTTAGTAGCCATATTAATAGGAATATTGAATATGGCGATTTAGTCATCAAAAAAAGTTGGAAAATAGATGAAAATAGGGGATGAAACGGGGAAAGAACGGGAAAATCCTGTGTGCCTTTGGGCTGAGCTGCAAAAATTAGAGGTTTAACATGGATTTAACATGGTTTAACCACCTTTCCTTGATTTGACCTACCAAAATGATCCCCAAAATAGATGAAAATACTGGTTTTATCTGGTTCTGGATAAATTACAAGAGTTCATGACCTGATTCAAGACCATTTGGGGACAGCTACCCTTACTAAGAATCATTCCAGTGACATCGCAGTGAAGTCGCACCCTGGGAATGGCTTGTTTTACAAGTCAAAATTGGGCTTTGCTGCTAATGTTTCTTTCATGTCAGGGAATCTCGAAGTGGATGAGAAGCAAGAAAAATTGGATGTCAACCAAGAAAGCAAGCAAAAAATTATTGAGTAGCCCATTCACAAACATGGGGCGTTGATAACCAACACAAATCCGAACATCAACCCAAAGAACTCACATGGGTGACAACCAAGAAACATAGGGATTCCACCAACAAACGCAGCGGAAAAGGGGATAAACAGTACAACAAATTTGGGATGGCGATGAAACACACAATACGAGTACAACCAACAAAAATAGGGTTAGTTTTTTTGGAAAGCACATGACTTGTGATTCACATGAATGAGGTCAATAAATGACAACAACCATGGGGATGTTTCAACGGAGAGTGAACCATCATCAAGTCGTCGTCAACAGAAACAATGACGATCCATAAGAATCGTATACAACCCCCGCATACCCTTGCAAACACAGACATGTGTCACAGGATGATTTTGATCATCACGGGCGGGGAATGCATCCAACAACTCTCCTGTCACAATCCAGATATTCCTAAAAACAAGATGCAGCCCACGAACCCCAATTGCTCACACGTATGTTAATGGTACAGATGTCGAAACACATGGATTTGCAGTCACGCAGAACACTTTCCTGCAATAGTTTATTTGAACACTCTTGTACATATTTCCCTGGTTACCAGTCTGCAGTGTGGAGTGGAAAGTGTAGAGTGTGGAGTGTGGAGTGGAAAGAGTGGAGTGTGGAGTGCAAAGTGTGGAGTGTAAAGTGTGGAGTGTAGAGTGTGGAGTGTGGAGTGTAGAGTAAGGAGTGTGGAATGGGGAGTGTAAAGTGTGGAGTAAGGAGTGTACAGTGTTAAGTGTGGAAAGTAGAGTGTAGAGTGTAAAGTGTGGAGTGTAAAGTGTAGCGTGTAGAGTGTAAAGTGGAAAGTGTGGAGTGTAGAGTGCAAAGTGTGGAGTGAGGAGTGTAAAATGCAAAGTGTGGAGTGAGGAGTGAAAAATGTAAAGTGTAGAGTGTGGAGTGTAAAGTGTAGAGTGTGGAGTGTAAAATGTACAGTGTGGAGTGTGGAGTGTAAAGTAAGGAGTGTGGAGTGTAAAGTGTGGAGTAGGCAGTGTAGAGTGTGTAAAGTGTGGAGTGTAAAGTGTAGACTGTAAAGTGTAGAGTGTGGAGTGTGGAGTTTAGAGTGTGTAAAGTGTAGAATGTGTAGAGTGTGGAGTGTAGAGTGTGAAGTGTAGAGTGTAGAGTGTAAAGTTTACTGTAGAGTTTGGAGTGTGGAGTGTAAAGTGTGGAGTGTAAAGTGTGGAGGGTGGAGTGAGGAGTGTGGTGTGTGTAGCGTGTAGAGTGTAGAGTGTAGAGGAGTGAGGGATGTAAAGTGTAAAGTGTGGAGTGTAAAGTGTGGAGTCTGGAGTGTAAAGTGTAGAGTGCGGAGTGTGGAGTGCAGAGTGTGGAGTGTGGAGTGTGGAGTGTAAAGTATAGAGTGTGGAGTGTGGAGTGAGGAGTGTAAAATGTAAAGTGTAGAGTGTAAAGTGTAGAGTGTAAAGTGTAGAGTGTGGAGTGTGGAGTGTAGAGTGTGGAGAGTGGAGTGTAAGTGTGGAGTGAGGAGTGTAAAGTGTAGAGTGTGGAGTGTGGAGTGTGGAGTGGAAAGTGTAGAGTGTGGAGTGTGGAGTGGAAAGTGTGGGGTGTGGACTGTGGAGTGTGGACTGAGGAGTGTGCAGTGTAAAGTGTGGAGTGGGGAGTGTAGAGTGTGTAAAGTGTAGAGTGTGGAGTGTGGAGTGTAAAGTGTGGAGTGTAAAGTATGGAGTGTAGAGTGTGGAGTGTGGAGAGTAGAGTAAGGAGTGTGGAGTGTGGAGTGCAAAGTGTGGAGTGAGGAGTGTAAAATGTAAAGTGTGGAGTGTGGAGTGAAAAATGTAAAGTGTAGAGTGTGGAGTGTGGAGTGTGAAGTGTAAAGTAAGGGGTGTGGAGTGTAAAGTGTGGAGTGGGGAGTGTAGAGTGTGTAGAGTGTGGAGTGTGGAGTGTAGAGTGTAAAGTGTAGAATGTAAAGTGTAGAGTGTGGAGTGCGGAGTGTAAAGTGTAGAGTGTGGAATGTAGAGTGTGGAGTGTAAAGTGTAGAGTGTGGAGTGTGGAGTGAGGAGTGTAAAGTGTAAAGTGTGGAGTTTAAAATGCAAACTTTGGAGTGTAGAGTGTACAGTGTAAAGTGTAGAGTGTAAAGTGTAGAGTGTGGAGTGTGGAGAGTGGAGTGTAAAGTGTGGAGTGAGGAGTGTAAAGTGTAGAGCGTGGAGTGTGGAGTGTAAAGTGTGGAGTGTAGAGTGTAAAGTTGGAATGTCAAAAAGTGCCACGCCTGCCACGCAAAACGACATGACAACCTGCTTGGAAACCTTCGTAAAGGAGATGTTTTGCAGCTTCCCCCATAGACAAGGCGACGTGTCTAGAAAACCAGAGACACTTTCGGCACGTTATCAAACAGCTTGGAATGTCACAAAGTGGCACGCCTGCCACGCAAAACGACATGACAACCTGCTTGGAAACCTTCGAAAAGGAGAGGTTTTGCAGCTTCCCCCATAGACACGGCGACGCCACAGGAAAACCAGCGACTCGAGACAAGACACGTGGATGCAGAAAAATCAGCATTTCGTACGAGACTTCCTCCAATTTTTAAGTTTTTCGACATGTTATCAAACAGGTTGGAATGTCACAAAGCGCCACGCCTGCCACGCAAAACGACATGACAACCTGCTTGGACACATTCGAAAAGGACAGGTTTTCCAGCTTCCCCCATAGACATGGCGACGCCACAGGAAAACCAGCGACTCGCGACTCGAGACGAGACGCATGGATGCAGTAAAACGAGCATTTTGTGCGAGACATCCGGCAATTTTCACCGTTGGCAACATGACAAAAGGACAGGTTTTCCAGCTTTCCCCATAGACACGGCGACGCCATAGGAAAACCAGCAACTGGAGACGAGACACGTTGGTGCAGAAAAACTTGCATTTCGTACGAGACTTCCTCCAATTTTCACACTTTGTAGCTTCAAAATCGACGTTTTCCTACGAGTTTTCCTTAGAACCTGAAAATTTGCAACCTCAAAATCAATGTTTCGTGCGAGGCTTCCGTCAATTTTCAGCACATCGCGCAAAATGCCACGACTGCCACGGAATTTGCACCTTGTCGCCACTTGACGCAGCCCTGCCAATGCGATTTGCAAAAACACGCAACACGGCACGTCTAAAGTAAAGTTCTGCGCCTGCCACGAAAAATGACGGTGGACACGTCCAAAGTGCTGCGCCTGCCACGAAAACTGCAACACATCTTCTGAAAACGTCGCAAAAGTATTGCGCCTGCCACGCAAAACGACTTTCGACACGTTCCAGAACACGTCTGAATGTCACGAAGTGCCACGCCTGCCACGCGAAACGAAGCAACCAGACGTCTGAAACCTCCAAAAAGGACCACCTCTGCAAAACTTCCCATAGGCACGGCCATACGGGGATCGCGCGAACGGTTGCGGACGGTTGCGGACGGTTGCGGACGGTTGCGGACGGTTGCGACCACAAACGCAACGTCGAGCGAACACACCCTCAACCCCCAGACCCCCAGAGTGAAACGGGAACCCTTGCTACGCATTCGGGAAAAAACAGTTTGTGATGGTGGTGACGGCTGTAACTTGAATGCTGTCAACCCCATGATCAAGAACCAATAATCTTGAAAACATACATGTGCCATGGTCAATACATGGTTTCAAGGTTAGGGTCATCCACCCCATAACAGGAATCCACACATAACTTAATGGATTCAAAAAAACCTATGAAAATGGATTGATGGCCATCTACCCATATGCACACACACATATACCCTTTGGTAATTTGTTACATAGCTATTGAAAACCGCCCATTTATAGTTGATTTACCTGTTAAAGATGGTGATTTTCAATTTTCTATAGCAAACTGTTACTTTACCAAATCGCATATACATAATGTATATATATTTTTTTATGTATATATATATATATATATATATTGTATATATATATATTATGTAAATATATTATGTATATATATATACATATGTATATATATATATATACGTATATATATATATACGTATATTATATACGTGTATATATATGTATATATATATACGTATATATATATATATGTGTATATATATATATTATGTATATATATTGTATATATATATATTGTATATATATATATATATTATGTATAAATATATAATATAGATTTTGTAAATATTATATATATGTATATTAAGCGTATATATATATTATGTGTATATATGTGTAAAATCTCCATCAGGTTTCGCCCTCTGGAATCATTTTTGTTTTTGTTTTTTTGGTATAACATCCCCTTCCACCGTAATGATCCAACAATCTACATGCGGATTAAGAAACCGAAAGCGTTGAGAAAAGAATCAAAAAAACATCAACAATGTGAATTAGAAATCTGGTTGGTGCATACCTACCCCTGTCAGTTGGGATTATTCTTCCCAATGTATGGAAAAAAATGTTCCAAACCACCAACCTTGAATAATATTAGCATCAAAGAAAACAACAAAAAGTCTTGCAATTCTTTGCAACATTTCGAAACCAACACTTATCACTTGCACCATCTTACACCTTTGCACCCTGCTTGCAACATTTTAGAAGTTAAATATCTCACGCACATCCTCTGGAGTCTATGCAACAGTTGAAAATCAAATCGATCATTGTCTATCATGTGTACCCTACTTGCAATATGTTGAATCTAAAATGTGCATCGCACGTGCCGCATGTTGAACTAGAAACTGTCATGTTGCATTGTGCCTGCAGCATGTTCAAGAAACATGTAGCATGTGTTAAATGCGTGCTGGATGTTTAAGTATGAGCGTAACATTTGGAAATTATTTGCAGCATGTTGGAACGCATATATCTTATTTGCACTGTATTTGCATGTGCAACTTTCTTAAACCGATATCAATTATTTCCAAGTTATTGGCTGCAATTTGCAACTCTCATAACTGTCATGACACGGTATCTGCAGCATTTTTTAGCTCAAATCTGCCGTCTGCACAGTCGCTCTTGTTGTATTCCGAATTGTTTCCATATGGGTACCCATTAATACTAAAACTGGTTGGTGGTTTCAACCCCTCTGAAAAACATCAAAATATTAGTCAGTTGGGATGATTATTCCCAATATATGGAAAAATAAAAAAAATGTTCCAGATACTAAAGTCTGTGGTCCTATAAGATATAAGGCTTAAATTGTTACTCATCCTCATATCTTCTCCATCTTCTCCTTACTTGGATGTGCATCCCACGAATCGGATCCGCGGTTTATAATCCATATAATCCATATAATATCATATATATATATATCTATAAGTGGTGATATTCCAGTCATCTAACTACGTTTTATTGACCCATTTACGAAACGTGGGGCCCGCACCCCCAAGTTCTCCTTATTCCTGCTGTTGTTGACGGTGGTGAGACGAATCATTCATGCCCTTGAAATGTTGCTGTTGGATTTCTGAATGCGTTTCCTGTAGCGGTTCTGATTTTGTTGACATTATATATGACATTCATATTCTACCATAGTTATATCATATCATATCTTATATGTATAAATATCACATAATATATATATATACTGTATTATCCCATATTATCCCATATTATCCCATATAATGTGGGTAAAACAATAGTAAACCATCCCCCAGTCATCACCATTTTTATAAGTTCTATAGACAATTCCCAGTCATGGATGGTTTATGACATTGTTTAAACAACATTGTGCCACCTATTTTCCAAAGATGGCCTCTGGTAATTTAACATAGCTATTGAAAGTTTACCACATTTATAGTTGATTTACCTATTCAAAATGGTGATTTTCTATAGCAAACTGTTACGAGTAGTTTACTATTATTGTTCTTGTTTTAACCACATTATGCCACCACATCATGATTAATGCCACCATGGAAAACGACATTAATTAATTCCATATTAATGCCAGTTTTTTCCAGAGATTAATTCCATTAATTCCTTTTAACCACATTAATTCCATGAAAATTCCATGAATGCCCACATAGAACCACTTGGTTCTGCTGCTTGGCGCACGTTTGAGTTGATCTCCGCTCGAGCAGAGATGAGCAAACGCATGGCCTCGCCACCAGCGAAAAAAAAACGCTGCGCTTAGAAAAGCCATGGGAAAAGCTCGGGGAAAATGGTGACTTCACCCAAGTTGGTGGATTTCATGGCAGAAAAATATCCTGGTTGGTGGTTAATATACTGTTAATGATGGTTAATATGTGGTTAATATTGGTTAATATATGGTTACTTATTACTGATGGTTAATAATAATCTGGTTGGTGGTTGAGCCACCCCTCTGAAAAATGTGAGTTCGTCAGATTGGATCATCATCCCAACTATTGGGGAAAATAAAAGATGTTCCAAACCACCAACCAGTATCTGATTGATGATATTTCTGATGGCTAAGTTGGTGCACACTAGAATCACTAGATTGACTATGCTTCATGGTAGATTTATGTGTAGTTTATGGCTTTGTGATGAAGGGATGATAGCTAAATATAAGCAATGCTAAAAAAAATGAGATATGGTTCTATGGTTTTTTTTACCCATGGTTTGACCATTTGACCAGCAAAGACCTGGAGTTTTTTCAGCATGAACCAGACGGTGATGTCGCAATGGTGATGTCATTTAAATGAAGTGAGCTTTTGTTTAACCATGGTTCATGTTTTTACATACACGAGTTTTAAGTGTTGGTAATAGCGTCTGGTAATCTGACATGGAAAGATGGAAAGCACTAAATTTCTCCGTGAACGCCACCGTATCGCCGGAGTGCACACCAAAAGACTGCTTGCATTAAGCATAAAAGTTAATTCCACCAAACATAGTTCGATTTCACCATTGGACATTTTGAGATGTGATCATTAACATGCTCTAAAAAACTGTTTATCATTCAAAAAGCTGAGATCATTGGTTGTAAATCTTCAAATCAAACCTGACTGGCTGGGAAATCCCCCATTTCTACAGGAAATTCGGGACAGTTCGGGACATTTTGTCCAGCCAGTTTAGATTGCGGGTATCAAGAATCCCTACAGCGATGACGACACCGAATCAAGAATCTTTGATTCCTGTCATCTCGACCCTGGATTTCTCTAAACCCCGAATGGCCGTGTCCAGGACGGGCACCGGTCCACTTTTTCTTAACCATGAATCAACCATGGTATCCGCCATCGTCGGTAAAAATGGGATGATTCTTTATCACCCCCAGACATACTTATTAAACATGTTGATTTACCTATAAAATAATGGAATTATGATTGATATGATTGAATTATGATTGATTTATGATTGATTTATGATTGATTTATGATTGATTTATGATGATAAACATGATGATAAACATCCCGCCGGGTTGGAAATGGGCCGAGTAAAAACAGCATTTTCATGTGACCGGCAAGAAGTCAATCATGCGTTTCGCAGTGTTTTTTCATGCTTTTATGTTGTCCATGAAGGTCAATTCTATTGTGATTTTGAATTTTCATTGGGATTTACTGTATATAGTTGACATGTCGGAGTGCGAAAAAAGTTCCTTTTGGGAAGTCAGCGTGCCCAAAACCTCAGCGGCAGCCATTTTTTCCGGTGATCTCTACATCTTCGCTAAGTACGCACCTGTTTTCTCCAACAGGGCTTTTCCAACTACATTTGCCTCCCATCGCCACTGCCATGTGCGAACGTACGTCCAAATGAGGTCATTCAATTTTTGTTCGTTTTCTGGGCAAGATGTCAACTGATCGGGAACACTGGCTTTGATCATACGCCAGCACGAGTCGATGGTGCCAGTATGAACCCAGAAGGTTTTTCCAGCATGTCTGCGGATCTTTTTCACAAATTGGTTTTTGCGATGTGAGCAGGCAAAATGTATCAGCTTGTTAGCCGATGTCAATCCAGGGTAGCACTTTGCGCCATCTGAGCAAGTACGTGAACGTTATTGCCCCACCCCACCCCACCCCACCCCTGCGTGACGTGACACATCATGACGTATATGCGCACGTGCAGGTGAACGTGCCGTGGCGTAACATCATGGGAGCGCGCAAGTACGTGAACGTTATTGCCCCACCCCACCCCACCCCACCCCTGCGTGACGTGACACATCTTCAACGTAGCATGACGTATGTGCGCACGTGCAAGTGAACGTGCCGTGGCGTAACATCATGGGAGTGCACAAGTACGTGAACGTTATTGCCCCACCCCACCCCACCCCACCCCAAGGAACATATATAAAAATGCCTAAAACGCTCGGACGGTTTTCAACCCGTAGGCATAAACATGATGATAAACATTGATAAACATGATGATGAACATGATGATGAACATGATGATTTACCTAGCTTTAAAATATAAAATGGTGATTTTCTTGGATATACCCCCCTGTTTCATGGGAGGATCGGTCAAAAAAAACAACTTCGCAAAGCGTGAAATCAAGCGTTGGCGCCTCGTGGTTCTTGAATTTGGCGGAGATGGAGAGCACCGGGCTGTGCTTATCCTGCCCGTGTTTCCATAGTCATAGCATGTCATATCGCTACCCCTTTATCGCTAGATGGTTTTCATGGAAAATCTGAAAATAACATGGATAACTAGGGGTAGCTCCGTTCTAGGAAACCTCATGAAACCTCCAAATGTGACTACTGAGCAGTTTGATTCTCGAACTTTGCTGCAAAGATAAACAGATCGATGATTACAAAACTGAAATTAATATCCAGAACCAACTCTATGGCAATCCCAGTCATCACCCGAAGCGGCAACAAAATGAGACAAAAGAACTCCCTGTGTTGTTCCGGGTCGAGGCAATCGCACAAAGAATACAAATCACTAAAGTCGACTACAAGCTTTATCAAGATCAATCCAATAACTTTAATTCTCTTTCATTTTTCATGTTTTTTCAAGGGCTCAAAAAAAACATTCATTAACCACTAACTACTACGGCCCCGCTACGGCTACTTACAGTAGGGGTCACCTTCAAGGAGGCTGTTTTCAATCGAAATCGAAAACAACTCTGTGCGATTTTGTCAGTATTGTTCTAATGTTCAAGGACATATACTGTAATAATAAAAGAATATATAAGATAAATATCCTAATGTTAGTAAATATAAGATTCTTCTAATGTTATCTTTTGGATCCCATATATGCTCCTCTCTTAGATTCTCATCTATTTCCATTTTTCAGAGTCGCACAAAATCGTTGACGATACGCTGTATCATTTCACTTCAAGATCGATGCATGCCGTCTCTCACAAAACCACCAAAACCAACTCGCAATGAAGTTGACCTCCGACTGTTTCCTCGTGAAAGCACCAAGTTAACTTGCAATGAAGTTCACAAAATTCATATCTTGTTGGTGGTTTCAATCCCTCTGAAAAATATGAAAGTCAGTTGGGATGATGACATTCCCAATATATGGAAAGTCATAATCCATTCATGTTTGCAACCACCAACCAGATATTCTAATTCGGGATCTCTCTTGAAATTGAGTCTACTACCGGTCCGCTACTTTGCACTCAACGGACGTTTCCCAAGGCTTGGAGGCTTCCCAAGGGATGGATCCCATCTGCAGCAAAGTCGCCATGTTGATCTCAGATCCTTCGCTCCAGGCTGCCAAGATTTTTAGAATCTTAGTATAGAAACTGGTTCCCATGACGATTCCATGACTGGATTCTAAGTGGATTTTCCAGTCGCCATGTTTAAAAATCATCCCTTACTGCTGCTGAACGTAGGGTTGCTGGGGGTTGCTGGGATGATTGTGAAAATAGTTCTTCTAGATCATTCCCCCCATTCCCTACGTTTCGCCGTTTCGCATAAAATCCACTGAACTCATCCAAGGATCTGGGCTTCTTTGTCTTCTCATTGGGATCGCACTTCACCTCCAACAATGCTGAGATCAGAGCGGCATCCCCCTTCATGCTGGCGTAGCACAAAGGCGACCACCCGGCAGAGTCCGAAGCAAAGGCCTCCGGACTTGAAACGCAGGTTGAAAAACGTCGTTTCGCCAGGAATCCAGGAAGCCGCCAAAGAAATATCCACAATAGTTCAGCTCAGTCATCTATTAATTATACATATATATATATATATAATATCAGATTATAATAGTACAACATAGTACAATCAACATTACCAAACTTTTTATACTTAGCCTAAACAACCAGCGTTACCCAACTTTTTATACTTAGCCTAAGTGGCTAATAGTATGATAACAACCATGGACGATAGCCCAGTTATATGGGATATAGACGAGAAAATTGCATCGCTTCTGTTTAGATTCGTGGCGTTTCATGGCTTAGCTGACAATGGCTCTTTACCCAGGAGGTACTTCCTTTGGGATCATGAACCCAATGTAATCTGGTTGGTGGTTGAGCCACCCCTCTGAAAAATGTGAAAGTCAGATTGAATCATCATCCCAACTATTGGGGAAAAAAAATGTTCTAAACTATCAACCAGTAATATATACATGAGGAATGTTTTATTGTGTCAATGGGACACTTAAAAGACCACGAAAAGTGTCTTGGAGATTCCATGCCAGGGACCCTCTTGCTGTCGTTGCCGATTCCCGTGAATCACTGGGATTTCTTTGGAATCGAAAAAATGCCGATCCATCATTGTTCCCATAGATTCCCCACATCCAGTGGATTTCCCACAAGGATCAGTGGTTCCAGTGGTTCCATGAGATTTCCGAAACGTTTTTTTGTCATTTCATGTCATTTCACAATCCCTGTAACAGGGAACTGTGAGAACCTCCTTTGAGAACTACGAAAGACCATCAACCAGGAAGCAACCATCATTCATCAACTCTCTTAGCATTTTCTGGTTTAGCCCTATCGTTTCAGTTTCAATCACCATTAAAACTTCCTTCTACCAACTAATAGGGCAGGGATTTTGGTCACCTGTATAACAGGGCTGTGGGTTAAACAAACATCCAGCGAGAGCACTTGGCCATTATGACCATTGAAACCACGCATGAGGGAAGAAAACTCATTTCATCATCCAATAACGCACCAACCTGAAAACATTGGGCAAATTTGGGATAGTTGTTCCATTGACATTGTGGTGTTTGGTTTCTTCTCATTTGGTCGTCAAGAATCTCCATCTGAGCAGTGTTCAAACTCCTCTGCCATTCCACCATACTGATTGTTTAATAGGGGATTCCCCAACTGGATTCTGATCATCCGTAATATATTTGGTAGTATAATTAATTACAACTCAGTGCAATCCCTGCATTTTTCGCAGCCAACAGGGGTTTTTCTTTCACTGCTCATCTGAGATTTTCCCAATCCAAGATACATCTTTGAATCCATTCTGAAGGAGGAAGTTCCCCAAAATCTCTGCAGCTTTCGGTGCAGCTTTCGGTTGACCATTGGCAGCACCGGTCACGTTCTCTCGGATCAAATCCTTCACAGATCAAGCAGTGAAGCGAAATGAACTCCAAGTTTTATGGGGACAGGAAAAAAAAGTCAACGCGGCAAATACATGCTACTGCACTGTATATGCAACAAATACATGGCATTTTGCAACATTTGGCAACTTCACCACGGATTTTGCTCCCACTGCCATGGGTTTTTTTGCCCACAAACCCGGCACGGAAATTTTCTGGTGACTCCTTGGGGATGGTGGATGGACAGTTTACCACATCCACTTCTTGTTTTTTGCAAGTTTAAGGGAGATCATATATATACATAATATATATACACATAATATACAAATATAATACACAATATAATATACATGTATATATATAATAGATAGACAGGAACTTGCTTTTTTGTAGGATCATGATCATAGCCGCTGTCCCTCGCCGCTTAAGCTTTGCGGTCCTGGATGTCTTCGTCACTTGGAATCAGGTCTTGTACCGCTTCCACTGGCAAGTTCCTTCCAGTGTGAGTCTATGTGTATAGTATTATATGTCATATATAATGATATACATATATAATGATATACATATATACACATATATGGACAAAGAAAGGAACAAGGAAAGACTCGAAAGGACTACAGGGTGGGGCCCCCAAGATGGCGTTCAGTTGCCTAAAAAAGTGGCTGAATTCGATTGGGTTTATGGTAGATGTAACGAACTAGTTAATGGATGTTAATTAATGGGGTTTATAAACCAACTTAGAACTGGGGGGCACCAGCACCATCCTGTATAAATATATATATATATATCTATACATATATATATATATATACACATATGCTGTTTTTTTTTCTGAAAATAAGGCATACCTAATTCCACTTTTGTCAATCATCATATCACCCCTCTTTAAAAAAAACACTTGATGGATATACCATGATATACCCCATTTTGAGACACACCCATATCATCAGAATTACAGGAAATATAGATTCTGCACTGACATGCTCATCATGGTAAAGCCGCTGCTCTTGTGACTTGAACATCCCCTCTAAATGGAAATGGGAAAATCGATGATAAAAAAAGGAATGTCAATGGGCCATTTGTCCATACCTATGCGGAAGAACCGGAGGGTACATCGGAGAAATTTCCGGTAAATATTCATACGTATTCATGGTACAGTAAGTCATAAGACACTTAAATGCTTAACTCATAACAAAACACACGGATGTTTCTGACGATGCTCTGAATAGGATCCATGATGATCCAATGGCATTCCCACGCGCTGCCTTAGGAACGTGCTCTGCTGATTCAACAGAAACCTTGGTGGATCGTTCTGCGCGAAAAGGGGTGGAAGGGTAACCTGCTACAAGGTGCTTAACGAAGCGTCCCTCTGCAAAAAATGTGAAGATTCCAGAGATTGATGATATTTGTTGCCCCAAACATAGGGTTTTGCTGAAACAAATCCCTTTACCCTCTCTTAATCTAACAGCTTACTAATGAAAAACACCATTCTTTCAGTTCGGCAAATCAAAACTCCCTAGTTGGGCCATGGCTTCCATAGCTATGTCTGGGAATAGATGTCACCAGCATTTTTGCTCCACCGCTTGCGGTTGCAGATCTCCCCAGCAACGCTTAGTCCGCAACCCAGTCCGCAACACCCTGCCGAGCCACCGATAGTGAACAAAGTCTCCAGTCTCTAGGCCTGGCAAGGACCAGTGTTTCACTTGTCCAAGGACAAAAGTACCCAGGGATATCAGAAAAAAATATGGGATATATATATATATAATCTGATGTACACAGTATAATATTATATATAATTATTAGGACATATATGGGAAATCTATGTAAATCTATGGGAAATCTATGTAAATCTATGGGAAAAATCTTTCGGAAATGCACGGGAACTATATGATACGGGATATATAAATTGTATGGGATATATCCCGGATCCCCCAACCAGGTGTTCCTCCCACTGAAATAGACCTTTTTAATGGCTACGGATCAATCTTTTAAAGATTAGGATTCAGCATCCAATTTTAGGCGATCGCATTTTTAAGACGGAGCCCCCCAATTTTGGGTTTCAAAAAAAACATATATTTGGTATTGAATATTACTGATACAAATTGATATAAATGAGATCAAACAGCAATGCTATCATTCGTTTGCAGGGGCGACTGGCTACAAAAAAAACAAACTGAATGCATCTTCAAGACCCAACACGTCAACAACATTGGCGGATGAAGGGGAACTTTTAAAGTGCGTGCAACCCCCAAACCAAAAGGACCCAACACATTCCCCAAACATTGCATCATTGAATTCCCCTGAATCCATCTTTGATACTCATATTTTCCCGTTGAAACGGATCCTACTGCTAGGTCTGCTAGGTACTGCAACTCTTTGGTGAAGATTGTCACTCCCCAAACTGGAAATAGGCACCATGTGCACCATGTTTTAGGGATGGTCCGTTCTTTCAGTTTGACAGTTTTTTTTTCTCGGTCCAGTGTGCCACAAAATCAGCAAGATCAATGACCAATGACACCAATGACACCAATGACACCAAGGAGCAAAATAGCAATTTCTTTTTGAGGATTGTTCGGAGTACCACCGCGACTCGTGCACGGTCTGTATCCACCTAAGGGCCCGGCCAAACTGCACAGCGCCTCCGACGCAGGATGTATCAACATAAGCAGTGTATCTACAGCTACATCTATTGTACATTAACGTACCATATATTCATACATAGCGATAATGATGATAATGATGATGATGATGATCATCATCATCATCAAATATCCCCATTATCATTCTATTTCAAGAGTAAAATGATATTTGGAAAACAATTTACACATGTTATCTACCATTGCAGTGATATGCCACCACAAACCCAAGGGTACAATGGGTTGTCCTCAAAAATGCGGTGTTTGCAGCATTATCCCCCAATGTGGCCACTGGGGAAGATATGGTGCATTTATGTCTCATGCGATGTGTATATATATATATACGTATATATAAATCATGATATATAGATATATATATATATAGAAACAAAATTATATAGCAATGATAATTGATAATATATAACAATGATATGTGGTATGTATGTAATTGATGATAATCTATGGGACTTTATGGGGAGAGGGGCTTCGGGTTTTTTGCGTCGGTAACATGTTTTTTTTTGCGACGGTGTGCCAGAGAGGTTTTTTGCATTAGCTCAGTGAGGGTTAATTGCGACAGCCCGGAGGGTTTATTGCGACGGTGACAGGGGTCTATTGCGTCGGCAGGGGTTTATTGCGACGGCAACAGGGGTTGTTTGCGACGGTAGCAGGGGTGTCTTGCGTTGGCCGGGCCTCGGGGTCTGGGAAAGGTATTGAAGGTAAGAAGAAAAAGGACAAAGACGAGGCAAAGGGAAGGAGAAGTGAGGGACAGAACAAGAACAAGAACAAGAAGAAGAAGAACAACAACAACAAGAAGAAGAAGAAGAACAACAACAACAAACGACAAACAACAAACAAGAGACAACAACCAACAACTAACAAGCAACAACAACAAACAACGACCGAAAACCAACAACCAACAACAAACAAGAGACAACAACCAACAACTAACAAGCAACAACAACAAACAACGACCGAAAACCAGCAACCAACAACCAACAACAAGCAACAACAACGACAACCACCAAAACAACAACAACAACCAAACAAACAACAACAACCAACCAAAAAAACAAACAAACAAACAAACAAAAACAACCAAACAAACAACAACAACCAAACAAACAAACAAACAAACAAAACAAAACAAACAAAACAAACAAACAAACAACAACAGCAACAACCACCAAACAAAGAACAACCAAACAAGCAAAAACCAAACAACAACCAAACAAACAAACAACCAACCAACCAACCAACCAACCAAGCAAGCAAGCAAGCAAGCAACCAAGCAACCAAGCAACCAAGCAACCAAGCAACCAAGCAACCAAGCAACCAACCAACCAACCACAACCACAACAACAACAGCAGCAGCAGCAGCAACAGCAACAGCAACAACAACAGCAACAACAGCAACAACAACAACAGCAGCAACAACAACAACAGCAGCAACAACAACAACAACAACAGCAGCAACAACAACAACAACAGCAGCAACAACAACAACAACACCAACAGCAGCAACAGCAACAGCGTCAAGAACAAACCTCAGCTGTCTTGGAGCCGTCTTGGGGCAACCTGGGGCCTGTGTTCGTCCAGGCTGGGGCAAGATTAGCCGCCAATGAAGAGCACGCCCGTGACAGCGAACGCGGTGTGGGCTGATTGCATGTGAGCACCTCTTAGCTTCCCACGGTGGAACGTGGTACTGAGCTTCTCTGCCACGGCAAGGCGGATGCTGCGCAGAGAAGAAAAAATTGTGCGTGTGGAGGCGTCGCACCCCGCCCCGACGATGTCGATGGTAACCTGACATGGCACGAATGGTGGAAAGATGGCGCAAGGACGCGTTACCGAAAAATTGGAGACACAAGGACAATAAGGGAACATGCCGAGTCCGAAAGCTGAGGCAAGCGCGGGCGCAGAGAAACCTGGCAACGACAAGGATGAAAGCCAGAATGAAAGTGACAGTTGTATAAGACATTGCGTTGCATTGACATCGATCACAGAACAATGTAGAAACCGAAATGCAGAAGGATGAAACAAAAAGCGAAATTTTGATCGGGTTCGCATGGGGCAACAGCGGCTTCATTTCGCGGCGCGGGGTCGTTTGCGCGGCAGCGCGGCGGACGTGGTTGGACGCCCGTTGCGTTTTGTGCGCAGGGCAACGCTTCGAGAATCACACTTGGCTTTGGGCAATTCGGAAATTTAAGGCTGCAAACAAAAGTTGCATGTTCACATTGTGCGTGCATTGCAGCAGCTGGGCACGAGCAAAGAGCGGCGTAACCTTCAAATACACGATGCTGGCAAAGTGGAATTTGAGTGACTGGGGAGACAGGTGTCCATCCGTAGTGAACAATTCCGGAAGGCTCTGTGGAGTCAAATTGTTTGGTTGCATCAGTATTTGCAGCACCTTCAATGCGAGCGTACGGTTTAGCGGTGATGTAGCTGCTGGCAAACGCTACCCAAGACAACTGATCACAGTGCTGGATGAGACACATGTTTTCTTGCGGCAATTTCGCAAAATTTGCGGCCGTTGTACGACCAGCGCGCACAAGCGCTGTGCCATTGATAAGCTGCCCGTCTTGGCCTGGTGGCATGAAGGATAGCGGCGTAGAAGCGTTCCAGGAATACCATTTTTGCCAATGATCTGTGTATAGCTTCTGCAAGACATGCAGCGCGTGACCGATATTACCGCGGCCACCTAATTGAGCCAATTCACGTTGCCAAGAGGCGTGTATGGCTTCAGCAGGCTCGCTGCCACTGCCTGAACCTGGGATAATGCCATCAAATCCAACCCAGAAACTGGTATACACGATATCGGCGCTGACATGGTCGCGGAAGATGGCAGGGATAGGGCGCTCATAGTTTTGTAACCAGTCAGCTAGCGTCGATTCATCCAAACGCCGGAGGGTTGCGAGGAAAGTTTTCCAGAGCCAACTGAAAAGCGGCAAGGTCGGAATAAACCGGAGAATGGCAATGACATCCAATGTGAACTGCAAGTGCTTTTTGATGTATTTGCCTTTCAGCACCAAGTGCTTGCACTTTGCCTGCATGGTGGTGTGGCTTTTTCTCTCATATGAAAGAAATCATCACATGCGCGGGAAAGGGGAAATACTTCAAGGCGGGCTTCTTCAATGCTAGGATGGAAATCTTTGTGAAGCTGTAAAGTAAGTTGTTCTGGCAGAGGTTTCTTCTCCGGATGCCTGGCGGCCCAGACTTCACAGCACACTTGGAAAAGACGGACATAGTTGAGCTTGGTTTCAGCATGGAACACTGCTTGTAGTATTGGCATGGCGTGCGACGTCCATGCGCGGCTCTGTGTTCGGCAACCTTTGCCAGCTTTGAGAATGTGTGTTGGACGAAGTTTGTCTTTCACCAGCAAGCTCAAAGTTGCCACACCCATCCCGCAATCCAGCACTTTCATCTTCGTGTCCACTGCCAACGCAACGTCTGTGCCACCGGCTGAGTGCACTCGTCCCTCGTGTGCGCACCGGCCGCCTCGACTCCTCCTCCCCCTCCTCCTCCGACTCCTCCTCCTCGACTCCTCCTCCTCCTCCTCGACTCCTCCTCCTCCTCCCCGATTCCTTCTCCTCGACTCCTTTTCCCCCCTCCTCCTATAGCTTCTATCCTATGCTAGCGATCAAGCCTCTCTGCCATCAGACCTCTCTGCCATAAAGACGGCTCCTTCACGCTCCTCCTCCTCCTTCACGCTCCTCCTCCTCCTCCTCCTCCTCCTCCTCCTCCTCGACTCCTCATCCTCCTTGACTCCTTTTCCTCCTCCTCTACTGTGCTGTGCTGACTGACGCCAAGAAAAACCTCGGCAGCTAGCACCGTTGCAAAAAACCCTAGCACCGTCGCAAAAAACCCTCGTGAACTGACGCAAAAAACCCCGCTGCAGCCGACGCCGTCGCAAAAAAAAAACGTTACTGTCTGGAATGACCCAGCCGTCGCAGAAAACCCCTGTTACTGTCGCAAAAAAAGAAAAAAAACGCCCCGATAATTTCAGAGAGTCCTTGTGCCACAGTCACACCAGCATCCTTCAGAACGGAACTTCCAGCTTGGATGATGATCATATCATATATGCTAAAGGTATATTAAACAATACATAGATATATTCAATGGTATTCAAAGCAAAAAATAAAAAGTATATATTGATATACCAGTAGATCGTAGTATATATTCACAGTATGGTGATATATTCAACAATATATATATATAATTATATATATATACCAAGTAGTGCTTGCCCAAGTAGTGCAACCCCCCACCAGGCCCTGAAGGCTTCACCAAGCTTCCGTGAAGCGTCCTTCCCCCGGCGAACTGCCGGTCAACTGAGACACCTTCAGCCTGCGACGGAGCCGTGAGCCTGGTATACCCTGGTAATAAGTGGATCATCCACAAATAAGTGGTGATTACCAGGTGAATATACTATGAATACATCACCAAAGTGTATGTATAAATCCGCCGGCCTGCCGGCGTGTCTGATTGGAAGATGTTGTTCTTGTTTCTGTTCTTGGTTTGTACTTGTTTCTGTTCTTGGCTTGTACTTGTTCCTTTGTTCTCTTGCTGCGCGTTTTTGCTTCGTCTGAATCAAGGTCGCCCCCTCCTCCAAAAACAAGTGCTACAAGAAGTAGTAGTAGTAGTAGTAGTAGTAGTAGTAGTAGTAGTAGTAGTAGTAGTAGTGGTAGTAGTAGTAGTAGCAGCAGTAGCAGCAGCAGCAGCAGTAGCAGTAGCAGTAGCAGTAGGAGTAGGAGTAGGAGTAGTACTACTACTTCCACAAGTACTACACTGGTAGTGCCGGTAGCTAATGACATTGCCTACAGCATTCCCGTTGTCTACAGCTACTCGTCACAGGACGCACACGGTACTGATCGACTAGTACTCATTTGGTATGCATTCCATTGGTGGTTCAAGCACGCACTTGGTACTCAAGCTGCTTCTGATCTACGGCTCTGTCTTCGTCCCTTCTTCTCTCGGGCTTCCACGTAGCGTGCATGTCAACCTCCCTTGGGGCAATCTCTCTCCCCTGTCTCCTTCCATGCAGCGGTCTGCTGTCAAGACAGACGCTCATACATAGTACCTGGCGCTACTTTGCTGGGGCGGTACTAATTTGGTATACGGTTAGCAGGTTGCTACAGCAAATCTTGCTACACAAGCCGCTTCCGTTTTACGGCTTTGTCTTCATCTTCCTTTCTTATTCTTCTTATTATTCTTCTTCTCCTTCTTTTCTCTTCTGCTCTCTCGCGGGCTTCCACCTACAGAAGCTTTTACACACAGATGCTTTTACGCACAGACGCTTTTACACACAAAAGCTTTTACAGACAGATGCTTTTACACACAAAAGCTGCTACACACGGAAGCTTTTACACACAGAACCTTTTACACACAGAAGCTCTTACACACAGACACTTTTACACACAGAAGCTTTTACACACAGAAGCTTTTACACACGGAAGCTTTTACACACAAAAGCTTTTACACACAAAAGCTTCTACACACAGGCGCTATAACACACAGAAGCTTTTACAGACAGAAGCTTTTACACACATACGCTTTTACACAGATGCTTTTACACACAGACACTTTTACACACAGACACTTTTACACACAGGCGCTTTTACACACTAACACTTTTACACACAGACGTTTGTACACACAGACACTTTTACACACAGACGCTTTTACGCACAAAAACTTTTACACACAGAAGCTTTTACACACAGAAGCTTTGACACACGGAAGCTTTTACACACAAAAACTTTTTCACAAAAGCTTTTACACACAGGCGCTTTTACACGCAGAAGCTTTTACACACAGAACCTTTTACACACAGAGGCTTTTACACACAGAACCTTTTACACACAGACGCTTTACACACAGACGCTTTTCAAAAAGAAGCTTTTACACACAGAACCTTTTTAGACACATACACTTTTACACACAGAAGCTTTTTACACGCAGACACTTTTACACACAGAAGCTTTACATACAGAAGCTTATACACACAGAAGCTTTTACACACAGAAGCTTTTACACACAGAAGCTTTTACACACAGAAGCTTTTACACTCAAAAGCTTTTACACGCAGAAGCTGCTACACACAGAAGCTCTTACACACAGACACTTTTACACAGACGCTTTTACACAGAGAAGCTTTTACACACAGGAGCTTCTACACACAGACACTTTTACACACAGAAGCTGCACATCAAACTCCCTTGGGGCCACCTCTCTATGGCCGGCGGGCTTGCCGAAGGCAATTAAATATACCAGGTGAATATCCTATGAATATTCCACAATATATCATAGTGTGGTGAATAAATGGATAACCAGGTAAAATAAGTCACTTGTGGATTATGATTAACCATTAACGAATGTTAATAACCCTGGTAATCATACAACTAAACGCAAGATAGCGTTTGTGAACGCATTGAGTTTCCAAATGGAGTGTAAGTGGTTAAACCATGAAATCATGTGGTTTAATGGCGATTAAGATGAGATCTGAATGATATATTCATGGGAATATCAAAAAGGAAACTATGATCAACTATAAGTGGCTTATCCCATTTACAAGTGGTAGTTCACTAACCCCAGAGGGCCCCTAACCAGTTACGATCCCGAAAGGGAAGAACTCAGCACAGCTGTTGCTGGTAGAATGTTCCACTTCCCATGTTTGAATATGTGTTTTTAATGAATCTCATGCTTAGTATTGCTTAGTGATGTCTAAGCAATAACCCCAAGATACAGATAGACAGAGAATTGACGTCCAACTTGGAAGCTGAACAGCTGAACAGCTGAAGAACGGACATTACGTCCAGACCACTTTTCACCAAGCAACTCTTGATGCATGGCACTTTTTACCACAATCCAAGATCCTGGGCGACAAAAATCGGGACCCCAGGAGTGCAAAAAAAAACGATCTGAACCCGGACCCTTAAATGACCCAACGGTAGATCTCCAGTCTGTATGGTCTCTTGTGGTTTTGGATTGTTTTTATTACAGTAATTGTTGGGGTTTATTCATGTTATTTCATGTTTATTCTACCTCATAACATCTTATAACAACTGCCAAACATAATGCCGAAAAGTGTGCCACCAGGTTTCCTACATGTTGATATTTCCTACATGTTTTCCAGGTGTCCAACCTTCGACCTTTTTTTTTGGGGGGGTTGCTATGACTGGTTGGTGGTATACCTACCCCTCCGAAAAATCATGGAGTTCGTCAGTTGGGATGATGACATTCCCAATATTAATGGAAAGTCATAAAATTCATGTTCCAAACCACCAAGCAGTTAGCTGTTAGTTATTAGTAATGGGTTATTGGTCAATATTACTAATGGCTACCATATATATATGTATATATACCATTATAACTATTAATAATTATTAATGGTAACTATTAATAATAATTAATAACTACATATATATATATATATCCCCGTATCCCACCATTGGTTAATATATCACTATTAACAACTATTAATGGTCAATATTAATGGTTACCATATATATCACCATATTACTATATAATGGTTACCATATATCTATATCACTATTGATCACCATATTACTAATATTACTAATGTTACTAATGGATACTAATGGTTACCATATCACTATTAATAACTCATGGTTCCCATATTACTAATCACTATTAATCACCATATCACTATTAATCACTATTACTAGTAGTTACCATATTACTAATCACTATTAATCACCATATCACCATATTACTATGTAATGTTCATATCTATCATTGGCTCCCATTTCGATCATTGGCGAGGCCTCCCCAAGCTCGCGATTCACCGTGAAAACTCTCCGCAACCGGGGCTCCTTGATTCACGGTGAGATCGCGCACGAGCTGCTCCACGCGGCACCATCCACGGTCACCTTTTTGGGAAGGGGGTTGGTTGTGATATTATTAATCAACCTTTTTAAGTGTTAAATAGTTACCATTAATATGTTACCATTAATGTGATACTATTATTAACTATTGATAACCTATTAATGTGCTTCGAATCAATCTTCTGATTCATTTTTTCCGGATTAATCAACCTTGTAAACTGTTAAAAAAGGGGAGGGTAGCATTTCAGTAGCCATTTCTTACTGGGGGAAGCAGCACCACAATTAGAAGATATTACAAGTACCAAAAAGACTACTACCATAGTTCCTGACTCAGTGGAGTGGAGTACATTCATATCATGCATGACTCCCCAAGCTTCAAGAAAGCTTTCACTTTCATGGTCCTCGGAAAACCATTGTGATGCTGTCAGAAATCTGTTAAGACTCATTGAAATGCCTTGTATCGAAAATAACATTTACTGAAGCTATATATCAACTCTTTGCGTGAGTATGTCACTACAAGCTGTGCTGGCATGTAATGGCATGTAGTTTAGGCATGGCAAGGTGAGTTCTTCAAAGTCCAACAGAGCTCTGTTGCAGACCTGGAAAGAATCTGACAGTCAATGTGACATCTCCGAGGTTCGGCCAGGAAATTCTTACCCTTCCATTTCAAAGGTGAGGTCGCAGGCTTCGGTCAACCGAATTTGTGGCTAGGAACCAGATTCCGCCAGTTTTTAATATAGTCACCCACAAGTACAGACAAAAGAGTGGCAAGATGGTCCAGTCGTCAGCTCTTTGAATCCTATCCCCAAGCAAACAACAAACAGAGCTTTAGAAACTTTGGAGGTTTTTTTAACTCTGATATACCATCTGGTTATTTGTCACATAGCCATGGAAAATTCCACCATGTTTTATAGGTAAACCATCTATTTCGATTAGGGCCATCTATACCATGGCTATGTTAGTCATAGCCAGAGGGTATCTGTAACATTCTGAACTGAACTCCTCGCAGAAAATGGATGAAGTTTTTGCCATTGACAGCGTCAAAAAATCTCCGTACCCTCTGGTAATTTAACATAGCTATTGAAAATGGCCATTTATAGTGAGTTTTCCCATTAAAAATGGTGATTTTCCATAGCTATGTTAGTTTACCAGAGGGTAACTGTTGCTAAGCTCTGATTGTTTTCCACCTTTTGATGCTCAAAGCATCTCAAAGCCATTCGAATGTTGTGAAGGACTTTCTCATCGTGGACATGGATCACAAGAGGGCTACTCCTACAATCATTCTTTGATGGCTGCTGCTGAAAATGACCGGCCAATACAATGCGTGCGGATATTTTTTGGGCCTTAATTTCTAAGCTAAAGCCAAGTTTTGTGGTTGGCCATCGGATCTTTGTTAGTGTTATCCATTTAAAACATATATATATATACTGTATATATATATATATATATCCACATTGTCCATCATTGTCCACCATTGTCTCCAGATCATTCCAGATATTGTCTCCATCTCCTACATCCTCAATGTCCAATTCTAGATACAGCCTCTCGATCCACCATTACCGCCATAATATTCTGATACAATACCCTCTGGTAAACTAACATAACTATGGAAAATCACCATTTTAAATGGGAAAATCTACTATAAATGGCAATAGCTTTTTGTACGTTTACCAGAGGGTAATGTATGTGATGCTTAATCCAATCAGTTCAACAATCAACCGCCACAAAAAACGCCGGGATTCAGCCAGGTCAACATGAAAAATACCGATTTCGTTCATGGTTGAATTACCATTGAATCATATAAAAACTTGGCTTGGTTCATTCCATTCGCCTCTGTCTTTCAGATCCGTGGAAAATGCCGAAAAATGCCATGAGCTTTGATGATTTGAACCAACTACACCTCCAGTTCTTGGATTTTCCATGAACTGATGACACCGGAGGTGAATGGAAAATCCCTATTTTTGGTTGACAAAACGGCAAGCCATTCAAATTATACCCCTATCCCATCTCATGAAATACTAGTTGGTTCATGGCTTTCCTATGGCTTATCAACCAGGTTATTGTTCAGTTCTATCATATGAGCTGCGGACCATATTTGTTACATAACGCAATTGACGGGGTGTTCCTACCTCGTTCTCCAGTCCCGTAACGTTTTTGCCTACCTCGTTCTCGGGGTGTTCCTACCTCGTTTTACAAGCTAAATACAATGTTTTTGACAAACCGGGGTACTTCCGAATACTACTTTCCATATACGCAAATAAGAGCCGTCGCTCATATGATCTTTCCATGTTTCATGCTTAAAACATCTTAAAAAACCATATCAATCATGTTAAAAACATATTAGCCTCTGGTAAGCTAACATAACTATTGAAAATGGCCCAGTCGAAATAGTGGATTTTCCCATGAATAGCATGGTGATTTTCCATAGCTTTGTGTATGTTTACCAGAGGCTAAATCATCACCTTTCCATGTTTTGAGGCTTAAAACATCTTAAAAACCATATCAATCATTAAAAAACATATTAAATCATCACAATCATCACCCAACCAGGCGATTTGACCATTGAAAAAAGTCCGATCGCTGCTATCCCAGTGGCCCCAGGTGTAGTCGCTGAAGGCTTCCGAGCTGTCCGGCGAGCCCAGCACCGGGCACAGGGCCATGAAGAAATCGCAACGCGACACGTACCTTGGAGCGGCGAGTCGCACCCAAAAAGAGATGGGTTTTTTACAAAAAAAAGGAGAGAAAGAGGTTTAGATGTCTGTTTTCAGAAAGATTTCATGAGTTTACATGAGTTTACAAGGTTCTTCTGTGTTTGGAAGGTGTGCTCTATGTAAAGAACAGGATTTAAATATATCTAAATCATATTGACTGATTGAATGATCTCATGTCATGACGTGGCTATTCCTCGAAAGTCAAAACCCAGGCTGGAGCCGTAGAAAAAATCATGTGCCGCTGGTCAGTTCATGGTGACGACATTTCACCAACATACATCTGCAGCGAGGCAAAAAGAACCCTGACGAAGATACTTTGACACCCTGGATTGAATAATAGACCACCAGTGTTTTGATACAGGGGGTACCATGTTCTTACAGTAATTTATCACATCACTATGAATTGGAGGTGTTGCCCGCCCCTAACCCTTCGATTTTGCTAATCCGGGACTGACATGATTCATGACATTTTCACTTAAACACTTGACTCGTGTTGGTTTTTCGGCTCCTTATGCTCCTTTTGGGTGAAGATGTTCCGATTGTATCCCATTACCCTCTGCTTCTTCAACAGGGCGAACTGGAAGCGAACTGGGTAACTGGCCCCACTGTTTTATAGATCACCATGAAGGCATCAACAGTCACCAAGTCAACAGTCGTCACCAGTCACAAGTCGCTGCCAAGCTTCGCAGGGATACTGTCAATCGCCTTTTGTAGCGATAAATGACGTTTATCCTCGCAGATCTTCGCCGAACGCAGAGTCGGTGGTGCCCGATACGAATGCAATGATTGGATTGCCACTGGGGGTTAGAGAATGTGTGTTGTTGGATGTTGTTGGCTAATTCTCCAAGAAATTTTAATTAAATCTAATTAACAGATACTCAAATAGCATCTCATTGCCAATGGAATTCTCCGAGTCCGTGACCCCGTGACCCCGATTGGATTCTCCCACTCTGCGCCTGCTGAGGGCAAGAGAAGTAGTCATACCTTACGCGATCATCACATCCCTGAAATTCGGACGTGTTTTTCGATCGCTGGGACCATTCATTCATCCCCCAAAATCATGGAGATACACTTAAGAAAGGTCAATTCCAGTGCATTGAGGTCAGAAAATGCCAGGTTTTTGCCAAGATTGTTTAAATGGGTTTTTTAAATGGCCAAGATTTCTTGGGAAAAAAATACCTTTCTTGTTGGGCAAACCTCCAGTTTTGGGTTAGTTTTTTCGGAGCAGTCAGATCTTATGCTGCAGTTTTTCAGTGCAACCAATGTCAACCACCTACAATGCTTTGTTTTTCAAAAAGGCCTATCCCCAAATCCCATGGGTCCCATGACCATCATGTTCATTCACATTTTCCCTCTACAGTCTCTACAATCAATTGGGCGATTTGTTTGGGGTATTCCCCATGTCAAATAGATGTGGAAAGCCATGGGTCGAAAAACACATCATTTCCGGAAAACTTTTTAAAATCCATGGGTCTTCCACATCTTCCACAAGCCAGCTATATAGACTTTAGACACCAAGAAACCACAGGAAGAGTCGCTTCCCTCGCCATTCTTTGCTGGGAATACCTTTGGATCGGAAATAGACTGCCTCTGTGATCAGATCCACTGAGACTTCACTAGCACCGGAGAAGAGATTTCCTTGGCGCAGTCTGAAACAACCAGACTGAAACAACGAAAAAACGTGACGTTTGGGTCCCTTATGGTCCCTTGAAATCTCCCAGAATTGCTGGGACAATGTACCGGAAGTCCTTTTTTTGTTTGGTTTTTTTTTGACCAGGCTTTTCTGTTTTTAATGTATCTTACATGTACCGTATTGCAACTAATATCATTTCCGGGGAATTTCGCGCATGATCAACCATCATGAGCTCCATCGAAGAAGGAGAGCTTCCAACCGGGCATGGACTAGACCGAAAAGGATCATGGCGTTTCTTCAACTGTGGTTTCTGTGGAAAACCTCCGGAATCTGCCCGATTTATATGTCTCAAAAAAAATGAAAAGGATCAAATGAAATGGATCGAAAAAATGGTGGATTGGGGGTCCCAAATCTGGACACACACACACACATGTTCACACATCTTGATCATTGAAACATGTGGGTTTGTCGCAAAATAGGGTACCCCAAAATTCCCTGCGTTATAATAAATTTAATATACCATCTGGTTGTTTGACGTAGAAAACTGGAACATGATCGTGTTTAATAGGTACATCACCATGGTTATCATCTATAAACTATAAATGGGCAATTTTCCATATGTTAAATAACCAGAGGGTAATGTAATCATCATGTTCCCAATGTTCCTATGATCTGTGATGATTTCCCGAGCTTCAATATCTGGAGACTTTCCGCTTCGCTACGTTCCCTACATGGTGGTGCATCCCACTTACTAGGTGAATTGACCCTAGTTATAAGATAATTAAGCCTACTTATCCCATTAACAAAACCACGGATATCACTTGGGATTCGTGAGATGAGCCACCAAGTACCCTCGTATATTTAACAGTTTTTTATGGAACATACCATATTTACAGATGATAAACAGATATATTTACCTAGCTATAAAAATGTGATTTTCCCCCCTGCTCAATGAAAACCTTTGATAAACATGATGATTTACCATGATTTACCATGATTTACCATGATTTATCATGATTTATCATGATTTACAATGATTTACCATGATTTACCATGATTTACCATGATTTACCACGATTTACCATGATTTCCCTATAAAAAATGGTGATTTTCCACTTCGCAACGTGCAGAAATGGGCCCTAAAAGGCGGCCGGGACCCGGCCGGGACCCGGTGGGACCCGTGGCCCCCGTTGCCGCGCCGAAGCACTCAGGGTGTCCTGCAAGACCTGGCGGCGACAAAAATCACACCTGCCCCGGGCAGGTAGGGGGTGACCATGGTGACCATGGGAAAAAACCATCCAATCTACCCTCTGGTAATTTAACATAGCTATTGAAAATCACCATGCTATTAATGGGTAAATCAACTATAAATTGGCCATTTTCAATAGCTATGTTGGTTTACCAGAGGGTAATCTGATCTGAATCTAATCTTAGTCTAATCTTAATCTGATCTGAATCGAACCTAGATCTAAATCTAAATCTAAATCGAATTTAATCTAATCTATCTACGCCGTGATTTTGCTGAGTAATTGGGTAAAAGTTGACGCCGTCGGAATTGATGTCCTGGTAGATGATTCTCCTGAAAAAACACCGCTGGCAGTCAGGTACGAGGTGATGACACATAGTTAGCTAAGTTGTGCCAGGTTGGTGTATAAGCAATACTGAGATGCGGAAAATCGTAAAAATATCCGCAGTTAATGGGGTTTATATGTTTTTTAAAATGACTGCGGGGCACCACCTTGGACCAAAGGTACCGAAAAAAATCCTGGTGACAGGAACTGGCACAAAGGGCGAAGAATAAAAACTGACACAACTGCAGTTTGACTACCAACATAACTATGGAAAATCACCATTTATTTATGGGAAAATCCACTATAAATGGCCATGTTCAATAGCTTTTTGTATGTTTACCAGAGGGTAATGATACACCACTCCAAGAAATCATTCTCACCCTCCATGTTCCAGTAATGTGGGTAAAACCATGTCATGTTTACCACCCATGACTGGAAATGGTAAACATACCACCTATAAAAATGGTGATGACTGGGTGATGGTTTATTGTTGTTTTACCCTCTGGTAAAATAACATAACTATTGAAAATGACCCACTCGAAATAGTTGATGTACACATTAATAGCATGGTGATTTTCCATAGTTTTTGGTAAGTTTACCAGAGGGTACAATGTTGATGTTATCAATAGCTCCCTGGGATTTCGCAACCACAGTATCACCATAAACCCAGAGTGTACCTACATGATTTCCCCCGGTCGTATTTTTGTCGGGCCTTCATCTGTTTGAACTCTGGATCTGGGTGTCCCTGTCCAATCCATTGGTGGGACACAAAGGCTGCCTAAGGGTGCCGTCGTCACGGCCGGACACGCCACGTCCCAAAAGCTTGTGCCATGGTGAAAACATCCAAACAAATGGTCAATGGTTAATGGTTGATAATGGTTTATAATGATTATAATGGTATTGTAATGGTTTATAATGGTATTATAGTGGTTTATAATGGTATTATAATGGTTTATAATGGTATTATAATGGTTTATAATGGTATTATAATGGTTAACTGGTTGGTGGTGCAATAACCATCTTGAAAAATATGAGTTCGTCAATGGGATTATCCCATATATTATGGAAAATAAAAAAAATGTCTGAAACCACCAACCAGCAAAAAATTGTCAATCTCTGGTAGTCCATGAAAAATGAATCTATTGCTATCGTGATTCAACTTTTGCTGGTTAGAAAAAATATATATATTCTAAATAATCCACTATATTTAAAAGTCCATCTTTTGCTGGTTGACTGGTTATTCTCCATTTATCTCCCAAAAACGAAGGGTTTAGTTTCTAACCTCTCCAGTGATGATTTGAGGGTGGGACCCTTGGGATTCGATAAGCATTTCCCAGCTGTCGATGGGGTTCCCATCCATATTTTTCAGGGGAGATATGGAAGAACCCCCGGTGAAATATGTTGGCCATGCTCATGTTCACCATGGCAGAAAAAACATATGCATCCACAGCATTTTCACGCACTTTGTTTGTTCCAGTCCCGCATTTCTGTGGGTTTACCTGAGTTGTGTTCAAAAACCGAAATGTCATTCCATTTAATCCTGGTTGGTTAAGAACGGCATCCTCATCATGGATTATATTAAGGGTTGTATGATCATCTATCACAATGGCTATTATTGTGCATATCTCATCATTATAGGGGTTGTACCATTGTAGGGAGTTGCACCATTATAATACCCATACTTAGGTAGTATACCCCCCTTTAATTGACAGGGGGTTAGCGACCACTGCTCACCTTCCAGCTAGTCTTTCCATGGTCAGCTGGCCCACTGCAGTCATGACACTCGTCCAAGTTCTTTGTCAAAAATGGTGAGTTTTCCTAAGAAAGAGCCGGACTTGGATCATGGGGGCTAATGATGAAGAATCGTTCAGGATAATCATTAGACTAATATGGTTATATATATACACATATAAGATTGATTTTCATATGTATATTTTATAGTATATGTTTTAGACTTAAAATACTTATGAATAATATAATACTATCATATACTTATTAACTATATTGGATAATCATTAGCTTATACTATCCAATATTGGATAATGGCGAATAGAATTCATGATAATGGCTAACCATAGGGATTCAATCATGGTAACCCCGATTTCGGTGAACCCCCCAGCCAGTGGGCATCCCAGCAAACACATTTGTTTTAAGGATTTGTCTGAAAGTGGGGTATAGCATAGGCATGGTATATCTCCCTTAAATGGCTATAATTGGCTATACTACTGTATTAATGTATTATAAGAATGATAATGATAATAACAAAAACGGGAAAGTGCTGATCAACCAGTGGTTTTTGAGGGGGTTCCCCTTGTTTTTGAGGGGGGACCCTCTCTGCTTGGAGAAAACTGGCAAAGGATACAAGGTGAGGCCCCCCAGTGATGTGAACGTTGGTTTGTAAGCCCGATGAATACTAGAGTTGCAAGTATCATGAACCATAGTTATATATTGGAGAATAATAAACCCATACTTCTTGGAGATTTCACTATCATGAAAAAAATATGACCTATTCGTAGGTGATACCCCCCCTTCCTCAACCCAAATGTTCACCGTGACGGTACCCCAACTTTGGCCGAAAAAATGATGGAGTGAGTTCGTCAGTTGGGATGATGACATTCCCAATTAATGATGATTATTGGAAAGTCATAAAATTCCATGGTTCCAAACCACCAAGCAGTTTTGTATAACTAGAGGATATCCCCAATAGAGCAAAATTACCTCACAGGAAATATATTGGAAGCGATATGAGCCACTGTGCAACGAATTTCTTGATGAATACGACGATATGACCCAACCAGTTGAGGTGGACTTGTCGTCATCAAACCACAAGCCCAAGTTGTTCATCGAGTGTTCAAAGCCATGAAAGACCCAAGCCTTCCCAATGATCAACTATACGGCCGTTGCTTTGCAATATCTGAGCCATTCAAGTTATACGGCTATCCCATCTCAATTAATGCAATCGTTGATTGATAGCTTTCCCTATAACTTATCAGAATCCCCAATAACCAGCTAGTGGAAAATTGCATATATAACTCCATATAATAGCTGGTTGGTGGTTTTAACCAGCTTGAAAAATATTAGTCAATGGGAAGGATTATCCCATATATTATGGAAAATAAACAATGATCCAAACGACCAACCAGTCCATATAATAACCAATCAAAGAGGGTATATGACCCGGACCTTTGGCCGAAACCTTTTGTCATCCGGTTCTGCTGATTGACAAGGGATCCAAAAAATTGCATTTGTTCACATAATCTCCATGGAGATGTAGTATATCAATATGGTAATATAGTAGATCTCCATTGAATCTCCATTGGTTCATATTCAAATAGTATATCCCCACCAAATAATAAATAAAGTATGTGATGAACTGGGCATTGCTCATCCAAATCCCAACATTCGAATGTCCTCTTGGGAAAAATAAACTTGAGCCGGAAAATGGCATCGCATCTACCACTGTTTGCCTACTGTTTGTAAAGGAAATTAACCCGTCAAGTAGCCAACCACTAGGAAAAGGTCATGTTTTTCTTCGAAAAAATTGGGTACCTCTAGATGAAGTCATCATGTTCCCTGCAACTTGGTTAATATCATCTAACCCCCTATAAGGTGAGACCCAGCAGTTGTAATTGGTGAAAATAAACCCTATATATAAATATCTATAAATACTATGTCGACTATAGACTGATGTGGGTAATTCCCAATGCTATCTGCACCATCCCCCAGTCATCACCATTAATCACCATGCTTATAGCAGTCATGGATGGTTTATGTGGTTATGGCATTGTTTTACCCACATTAGTCCCAATAATTGTCAATAGTTGGTTAATACTCACTATGGTCCCATTTAAATTCCATAAAACCACCATAAAACCACCATTTTCCTTCATTGGTCCCATTTAAATTCCATAAAACCACCATAAAACCACCATTTTCCTTCATTGGTCCCATTTAAATTCCATTAAACCACCATAAAACCACCATTTTCCTTCATTGGTCCCATTTAAATTCCATTAAACCACCATAAAACCACCATTTTCCTTCATTGGTCCCATTTAAATTCCATTAAACCACCATAAAACCACCATTTTCCTTCATTGGTCCCATTTAAATTCCATTAAACCACCATAAAACCACCATTTTCCTTCATTGGTCCCATTTAAATTCCATTAAACCACCATAAAACCACCATTTTCCTTCATTGGTCCCATTTAAATTCCATTAAACCACCATAAAACCACCATTTTCCTTCATTGGTCCCATTTAAATTCCATTAAACCACCATAAAACCACCATTTTCCTTCATTGGTCCCATTTAAATTCCATTAAACCACCATAAAACCACCATTTTCCTTCATTGGTCCCATTTAAATTCCATTAAACCACCATAAAACCACCATTTTCCTTCATTGGTCCCATTTAAATTCCATTAAACCACCATAAAACCACCATTTTCCTTCATTGGTCCCATTTAAATTCCATTAAACCACCATAAAACCACCATTTTCCTTCATTGGTCCCATTTAAATTCCATTAAACCACCATAAAACCACCATTTTCCTTCATTATATCCCTACCATTATAGACTATAGACTATAGTGAGATCCCCCCTTCCTCAACCCGGGGCCCGCAAGGCAGGGCTCCATCTGCAAGAAGCTCCTCGTGCGGTTGGATGGCCGTCATCTCCAACAAGAGATCCTCAGTTGACCCACAAAAAAAAAAGGTTTTGTTTGGTGGGTTTATGGTGGATTTATGTTTGAACTTGTGATTTTCCAACTTTTTTCATGAAAGTTTATGACTTCAACGGAGCTTCGTGAAACACTGTCGGCGTTTCCTAGGATCTATGGTCGAATTGTGGCTGAAATTGACACAGCTTTGTAGGGTCTCTCAAAATTGGATGGTTAATTCATCATTTTTCCCACCATTACATTTAAATACATGCAAAAAACACATTTAACAAATGTAAACAATATATACTAGCAAACACGTGTGAAAATCATCTAAGAAAACAATGTTAAAAACAAAAATCAATGAAAAACATGTAAAAATAATGTCGTTTAAACAAACAAAACCCATGCACGAGCGTTTAAAAAAAACGACAGGTACACCTCATTTTCAGAGAGACAAAAAAATATCCAAACCTAGCTCGGCTTAGGCCCTCCGTAGCTCCAGGCACAAGGTTTTTGCCATTTTTTTCGGTGAAAAGAAAAGGTGTATTGTTGTGTATTGTTGTGTATTTCAATGGATTGGTTTAAGGGAAAATTTACAGGAAAACCCCATAGAAATAATGGGAAAATCTATAAAAAATCCTGTAGATTTTCCCTTAAACCAATCCATTGTGTATTGTTGTGTTTACCACGTCAGAATATGTAAAGTGATTATGAATATAACGATATAATACGATATATCTGGGTAGACTATAATAATTCACTAACCTTGAAAGATGAAATAAGAAGATATTCTGGATAATTCCCCTTACTAACCATGATCTATGGTGAGGTCGCAGTGAGGTCGTTGTAATTTACCCATTGCCAGCGCCGTGCGAAATTGCTACAGGACTTCTCGGATGTACATTCTGGTGGTTGCAGCCAAAGCAAATCAGATATGTTGGAAACTGGGTACAGTATAACCCATCATTAAATGGCTGTTTTAATAGGAAAACTGAAGATTAACCAATGGATTTTTAGGGGTACACTATTGTTAGACAAACCCATATGCCTTTGCCTCTACCCCAATCTCTGAGTAGAGTGGAAAGACAAAGTGACTTTGGAAAACGTCCACAAGTCATTCATGATGGAAAACTCTGCTGATGTGTAGAAATTGACAACTAACATCCATGTAAGATATATAAATTTAGTGCATCCCGTTACAAGGTCAAACTTGAGAAAACTCAAACTTTTATGATGAATAAGTGTCAAGACTACTCGTGTAAAAGTGCCGGATTGTATTCAAGAATCATCCAAAATCTATGCTTCCCAGCAGCTGACCAAAAATTTGATCTGGATTTATCTAAAAATAATGGAGAACCCTCCAGATTCTCATTCATAGTTTATCATCATGTTCCATATTAAAACAGCTTAAGATTGTGATATTTCATGGTTTGACCGTATTTTTTTTACCCTATTTAGACGCCAGAAGCCGCCTATCCCCCCCTAGCTGCCGCAGGAACTGCTTGGATGGTGTACATTGGAAACTCCACGGCAAGTTCTCCACCTCGATGATTCGGGAAGAAAATCTCACGATTTCGCTGAGGAATATGATGGGATATAGTGGGTACATAGTGGGGATATGGGTATGGGTCAATACCTATAGATACATTTTTAGTGGGATGAACATCCATTTACCAGCTATTTTGATGTTCACCAGGGGTACAAGGTTTTGACACACTGCCATATAGTGGGGATATAGTGTTTTTAAGTTCCCCCCACCAGGTGGCGTCTTGGTTTTTCAGATCGCATCCTGCTGCAAACCCCGACCGGTCCGATATGGAGGTTTGGTTCACTGGGAAAATCTTAGGGATGATGTTAATATTATATATAAATTATGTATATATTTATTGGATCATTGGGGTAGTTATCCACGGATATTGTAATCTCTATATGTTGTACTGCATTTTACGGTATGATTTTTTATGCTGTATTGAATTGTATTTTACGGTGATATTGTGTTGTACTTAATTTGTTCAACAAGAGTCAGGACTCGGCTGATAGGAAACCTAAGCGGGGGAATGTTGTGAGATCATCAATTCCCAGAATGCCTTGGCCTGTTCTATCTTGATCTACCCAGAGGCAAACTAACAGTTCGATGTGGAAACGAACTAATATGTGTAGACTATTTTCCAAAAACCATAGGTTTTCCACATTTTTTAAAAAGTACGTTTCACCGATGGGTTTTTGTGTGTCCAAATCAGCCATATTACCGGTCCCCATTTTCGACAAATCATTGGATCCAAGACTATGTCCCAATGTCTCAATGTCCCAATGTCCCAAGCTACATATTTAAGGGGTATTGCTGAGAAATGCTGAGTATCTCCAAGCAATTTCTACATTTGGTTTTTGTCAGATCTGTATGATACTCGTGTTGAAGTTCTACATCCGTCGACGTCGTGTTGGTGAAAAAAACAGTTTGTAGCGTCCTGTTGATATTCTTCCAGGACATATCTTAGAGACCCTGCCTCAAGACTTGTGTTTTTAGCTGGTTAGTATATGTTAGTATAGATTCTTGATGTTTATATATATATATACAGTATATATGGTTGGTGGCTTCAACCCCTCTGAAAAATGATGGACAACTCGTCAGTTGGGATGATGACATTCCATTCCCAAGTGTTTTTTAGAAAGTCATAAAGGTCACATAATCCAGTCAAGTTCCAAAGCACCAATCAGATTGTATAAATATATATATATATATGAATATATATATATATATCAATATATATATCTATATATAAATCAATATATATATATATATAAATCAATATATATATATATATAAATCAATATATATATATATAATCACCATGTTTAATGGGTAAATCCACTATAAATCCAGGAAAATCTCCATAACTATGGTGACGCCTTGTAAAGTTAAATGTCTGGCTGATTTTCAGCGGCTTCACCCAGCCCGAAGCGGCTTCACCCCCAAGCCACTTGTGGAGCGTTGAGATGCTCCGGAACCTGCGGTCCAACGCAGCTTCTGTGGTCCAACGTTGTGAATTTACGCCATAAAATGAGGGTGATGATATGTGATGATTAATCATCCTCAACTATTCCATGTTCAAACTCAGAAGTATAAGGAGATTGTAATCAAATTCAAATTCAAATTTATATAAAAGCAAACACTAAACATGAAGATAAATCAAGAAGATACTATGTGGGGAGTTTCTATGTTTATGTACATATGATAAAAACAAAAAAAAACGCGGCTACACATTTGTTTCTTGAGTTTTTGAAGATTTTTGTTTATGTCCTTTCATGTTTCTTCATTTTTGCTGAGGCTTGTTGCAAAAAAAAAACGGCTACACTTTTGTGGGGTCAAATGACAAAAATTGTGGGGCATTCTATGTTTTAGGGCGTCCATGATAATTCCGCGTAAATAACAGCAAATAGAACCATAGCATATTACATGGGTATGCTCGGGCATTCAAAGTTTAAGCAAAATGGGGCATTCTAAGTGGGGTTTGGCTGCACATGCGCGGCATTTTGTTCAAAATTCAAAGCGGCTGGGGAAAAAAAAAGCTAACAAGCGCTTTTGGTCATTCTAAGTTTCAGACCGCTGCAATATACGTTCTAGTTTTACATTGACAGTCGGACATTTGATACAGGCAACCAGTGCAGTGGTTATCTCCAATCATTGGAATAGTGTTAGGCCATCCTCCATGTTTGTAGGCTACGCATTTTGGTTGATTGCTGTAACCCCCTTATATTAATCATATTATTAGTTCACTAAATCCGTATAATTAGGTGGGTGTCTGAAAATGAGGTATACCCCCAAATGACAATTTTAAGAGTGATAATATTACCCATTGGGTTTAATACCATATTTCAGACAAACCGCTCTGTCTCTCTACTATTCTCTACTTGGAGGATCACATCCCACGAATAGTAAGTGGTTAATAACCCTAAGGCCCTAGCAAGTCCCCATTTTGTGAGGTTACCCCAACTATGACTGGCCCCAGTTCCGTGTACCCCAGGGGTCCGCACCTGAATCCTTCCGCAAAGCTCGCGCATATCGGGCCAGGGGGGTCTCTGATGGCTGCCCTGCGCAGCACTTCATGGCACATCTGACCCCGGTGTCGAGCCAAAATGGTCTACCGTGGCACAAATCACTGGTCATGATTGGGCACTGCAATAGTCCAGATCTTTTTTTCCATAGTTTAGAAGTGTTTACGAACACCAAATGGCTATGAGTCAAAACCTTGGCATATTAGGTACCCTAAAATAGCTGGTTAATGGTTTTGTATTTCCCCAAATAAGGTAGCATAGGTTTTGATCCATCCCCAATATTGGGGGTGTCCTCCATGTTTGGTTTCCCGTTGGAGGCTCTCAAGCTGCCGAATGTCGGCATGGCATTTCACCAACCTGTGGTTTAGATGGCTTTAGAGTGAAGTATAATATAGTTCATGACATGTTCATACATTCTATACTTATTGGTATAGTTCATGTACTATCGTTATCTATCGTTCATATAATACGATACTATACATTCTGTACTTATACTATTATTAAGTATTGGTATTTCAACATTTAAGTATTGGTATATATACTATTGTACTTATACTATTTATACATTCATGTCGTATTTCAACATGTCAAAGCTTTTCACGGCGCCCATTTGATCCACCGGTTGAATCCATCAGGGATCAGTATGACGACAGTACCCGGCCTGGTAAACATACAAAAAGCTATTGGAAACGGCCATAGAAATAGTGGATTTACCCATTCAAAATGGTGATTGTTTCCATAGTTTTTTGTATGTTTACCAGAGGGTACATCTGGGTGAATCGGACATGTCTTGGACACACCGTGCTTGCTTCATGTTTCGATGATTTCTACTAGCTTTTTGGGCATCTCACTTCCAGTACATCCCTGTCTGTTGCAACTTAACATCCACTCTCCGTCGCAAACCTCTGCAACTGGAACCAAACCCTTCGCAAATAGTTAGCAATTGGCTTCAGGATGCTGAAGGGACCACTAGCTTCTAGTCCAATCGCCATCCATGACCCACTTGTAACTTATGTATAATCACTTACATACCACCTGTGAGTTTATCCCTAAGTACTTGCAATTTATCAATAAGTTGATTTACCACCATTTCATAGCATTTCCATCCACTTCTCTGATATGATACAATATCATGATAGTGGATACAATGGGAAATTCTCCCGGATTACATCCATTTCCCATATTTATCCATTCAGGGCTCCACTTATCGGCGTTCTCGAACGCCCTGCACCTCAACGGCGTTGTGCAACTTCTTGCGGCGTTGATCGATGGGAACTAAGTCCTGGGTCGCCCCAGGACTCACCACGAGATGTTTTTCGACGGATGGAGGTTACTGATGGGTACCCGGCCTGGTTATGTCAACAGTTTGCTATTGAAAATGGCCCAGTCGAAATAGTGGATTTACCCATTGAACATGGTGATTGTGTCCATAGTTTTTTGTATGTTTACCAGAGGGTAATCATTAGAATCCACTCATCTCCAGTATCCATGTTTTCTTGTGAATGGATGATGGATAGTAGCTGATCAGTAGTTCAGCATCCACTTACCTCATCTTACCTCCATTGCTATTTTTTGAAACCTTTCTTGGATGTATCTTTGTGCAGTTCTGAACGTGAATGGATGATGGATATGAATAGTGGCTCAATGATGGAACTGCACTGTTGGGTGATCCAACTCGCTCGCGTTCCTAGAAATATTGCGACTCAGTCCATGATTTAACGTGGGATTGATGGACAGAAAAAAAGTGTGCTGGTGCCAGGGATATATATATATATATATTATATATACATAATACATATCTTGGATTGTAATCCCATTTGCTCTCCATTTACTCATAACTTCACAGCTGTATCATGAAAGTGGTTTCATGGGGGGTACTATTTAGCATTCAATGGCCATTTACTCATTTCGAGCGCTGTTTGAGGGTATTCAAAGCTCAGGTACTGGCTAGGAGTGGGTTGGGCTTGTAATCTATCCTAAATAATGCCTATAAGATTTGATATAAAAAAGTGCATTTAGACACAGGAGCCCATAATCCGCAAGAATTCATCATCCAATCCGAATTTGATTCTTAAGGCCATCAACAAATATCAATTAATAACATTCAATAACTGATATCATGAATCCCAATTCGATTTATGCCCTAAGGCCATCAAATATAAATTGATGTTGTCTCCAAAAACTTCACCACCATGGGGCGACAAAAGGGTGCGATTTTCGGCTCACCTACCATTTCTGAGCTCCAAACTGCCTCGGGCACGCCAGCTTCCAAAGCTGCCTGGAAGCTGAAAATTGATCCCTTCGGACCTCCCAAAAAAGGGGATTGGACCAATCAAATTTAGGATTTAAATGGATTTAATTTAATTAAACTTAACCCGCCAAAAAAATGTGTTAACGGCTAACCATTTCTACATCAATTGATAATCGCGAAGAATTCTTGGGCATCATTGATGAGGAAACAAAGATTTGGTGGATCTTACCAAGTAGTCAATAAACAGAAAGCGATTGGACTTGGCCAACCGAACACTATTTGAATGCTTGAACGAAAAATGATCTGGTATGAAGTGGTCTAGCAACGCGAAAATGCACTTGGATATCCCTCCACACACTGACAGTCATCACAAGGATTCAATTTGACTTTCTCAGGATCCAAATCTGCTGTCGCTGGTCTGGGATCAATCTTGGTCATCCAGAGACGAAACTAGGGACAATACCCTCCGGTAGTCAAACATGAACTGCTGGCCATCAATACATCCATTGAGTGCGGGTATTTGCCAACTTTCCATCTTTGATTTCGGAAGGGTACCCTCTGGTAATTTAACATAGCTATGGAAAATCACCATGCTATTCATGGGAAAATCCACTATTTCAATGGCCATTTTCAATAGCTATTTTGACATAACCAGGCCGGGTATGTTGGATGAGTATCAACCTATCAACCACCTACCAGCTTCCCAAGAAAATGCCACCTGCACGATTGAAGCACCAATCCCGTCTCGACTCGGCTAGGCCGCTATACGAACGCACAGGTCCCACCAACTATAGGCACCCGTGGGCGAACTTGCTTCTGGAAAAGAATGTCTTCAGTGGATGTCAAATATATTGTTTACTCATCTATAAATTTGGCTACTGAGATGATTCTTAATTTAAGAAACGGGTCAGTTACCGCCAGTTGGCCAGTTGGGCCTATCTTGCCCACATGATCAGCTTCAGGTCTTCTCCCAGAAGGCATTTCCTGTGTTTCCTCCATTGACGTCACCTCTTTTAAGCAGTGTCAATTACTATGTCACCACCAAAACACGCCGAACAAGGGATTTGTTCAGAATGTTTTTCATGCTTAAGGAGCGAAGAAACATTGGAAACCCAACCACAATCCTCCACAATCAAGCATCTTGTGATGAATAAAAAGCTATGTATCTACATGTGTTTAATGATTAAACCATATTAATTAAACAGAAACATATATATATAATGATAGAGATATGTTTTGTTAATTATGAAAACATATGAAAACCATTGAACACCTTTTAAAGCCATAGATGTTTGTCGACCTCTCCGTTGTTTACCGTTCGCCTTCAAGGCCGTTTGCAACTTGTCCTTCATCTCCCGCAGGGCGTCGATGCTCTTCATGTCCACCTCGGGTGGGGTCCGGTGGAGTCTGGTGGGATCAATGGATTGGTGTCGGGGAATTCTGAACACCGGATTTTCCATCGATGGAAACCATAGATTTTTTTGGTCGGGAAATGATTGAAAATCCGGTTTCAAAATTGGCCAAAATCATCCAATTCTGTGAGGGGTTGGTAGGGGAAATATCCCTAGAATTCACCGCAGAAAATGGGCATTCAGCTGGATTCTCCTGGTAATTTCACAAAATTCCAAGGGGGTGGAGACCGTGATCTGGTCGTGAAAAATATTCAGAAAAGATTCATCCGTTGGAGATCAGAAAATCTCAAAAGAAAAGGAACATACCACTGGAGGGGATGGGGATATCATTGTTTTTCCGCCTTGATCATCGAAAATCTGAGCTTTGACCAATCTAAATGAGGCATTTTTTTTTTACAACCGACCATTTTTCAGGTTTTCCATAAACGGGAGATTCACTGCGACCTATATGTAACAAAAACAGGCCGAAGTCCAAGCCCATCATGGCTGGTTGATGGTTGGTTTTTTTTTGGGCAAAGTGTGAAACAATCCTCATATTATCATTGGTTAATACGGTTGTATAACAATTATTCCTCATATAATTGGTTAAGCGTTTAATTATGAGGTATAACAATCCCCAGTGTTTACTAGGCTAGAGTGAAAACAAGAGTATATAAACAAACAACCATCATGTCTTTCGTGCTACATCACCCATGTTTGATGGTTATAACCCATCCAAGGGGAGGCCCCCCGTTATATTGGTTGATAAGCCCACTGACTAGTTCTATATATATATAGATATGACACCATATAATAGTTACCCTCTGGTTATTTAACATAGCCATGGAAAATTACCATTTTGAATAGGTAAACCATCTATTTCTATGAGCCATTTTCCATGGCTATGTTAAATAACCAGAGGGTAATTTCGTTCGAAACCGCTTAAAATCGGTATCGTTTGGGGGCCAAAAACATGATTTGGTTCCGAATCGGAAATTTCGCCTGCTGGGAGTCCGCCAGGGCAGCGTTCACCTCTTTCATCAACTTCTCCTTGCGGAAACGCAAGCGTTTGATGCGTGTTGTTTGAGCCCCTTAAAGGACACATAAAAAGGGGAACAATGGGAATATATACATCAGGTAGTTGAGAATAGGAGTTAAATAGATTTTTCGATAGAACAGCTAGATTGTGACAGTCAATTTTCCCACTGTTCGATAGTCACTATATATAGTGCAACAGTGGGAAATCTCACCGGCTCCCAACTGGGACCGGGGAACCTTCTGCTCTTCTTTCTTCAGAAGTGCTTCCGCCTTTTTCAGGTGGGGGATGGCGAGGATGGAAGCAAAGACCAATTTGGGGGAATTGCCCAAGGGTAAAGTAACATAGATGTGGAACCCCCAAAATGATTTACAAATGCTGGTTTTTCCACATTTATGTTAGAAA